ACACCAAGTTGGAAGTGAGGATAGATACTCAGTGACAGCATTACATAGAGGGGAGAGCTGACAGTAGTAGGAAAATGTGGACCACTGTATTTAGACCCAGTGACTCAAAGATAAAATGCTCAACATAAAATGTGGGGCTCCTGGTCGGATCGTAAGTGTACACTACTGAGGGATCACATACCACGATGAAACAGCTGCCCAATGCTCCCTGAATTCCAATAGTTCTATAGGTAGTCAGTCTGTGATGAATACCGACTTGAGATAAAAACGTCTCCACAAACCACCAAACTGTTTTCTGACTAATTTTATTTGCTTCAATACACAACAGATAATTAAAGTAGATTGCTTCCTAGCTAATTATCCACTCAATCTAAGTGTGGAAGCTTATTTACTAAGAAAGTCAAAGAAATGCAATAAATGGATAGAGCCGACTGCGGAGCATCTAAAATGCCAGTTTAGTGAAAACTAGTTGAAACCAATCAAGCAGCTTACAGCAGATCTGTTTGAAGTGCATAGCTGCAATACAAATGATATCGGACAGGCTTGACTCAGTAAAGAGCATAGCAAAGAGGTGAGAAAGATAAGTGAAGCAGCAAATGGAGACAAAACGCTGAGCTCAAGATTTCAGAAGGTAAGCTTACACAATGGTTAAAGTGACATGCTCAAACTCAATTTTCAGCATTCCATTTAGAAAGAAATTTCTCCGAAGGAATAGAAAAACTGAGTAAACGTTAGTAAATACAGTTATAGAAAACAATGGAATATTTGTGTAGCTACTACGAGCAATCAAACAGTCTATGGCAACAGGTAAATTGAAGAAATGTTTCGGCACACACAACACTACCAGCCTTCAATATACTCGACGATTCTGAAGATCAGATAAACACTGTACATGACTTCATTTATGGTTTCCTGAAAAATGGCACAGAAGCTTTACTTCACATGCTTGATCATAATGAAAGCATTTGAAATAAACAACTCATAAAACTGAATATTTGGATGACTTTGCTGGGAAAAGAACCAATTTGTTCTGTTAACAAATAGAGTAGATATGCTTGTTAATAGAGGCAAAACTTTCGAACATATCTACAACTTGGCTCTATCCACTATACACAACATACTCATATCGAGTTCCTTCCACTTTCTTAGACAGATAATCATTCTGTTTTCTATTCGGATATAATGTCTGCTTTTTAGATCTCTAAAATACTAAACAGTTTGTAGAAATATTCAGAAGTAATAAAATTCGATATAACTCCACAGGAGATCACATCACTTCTTCTTTAAATTCTCATTCAACAGTTTCACGTATACCGGTCATGCTGGATCTTCTGGAGCGTCAGAGAAACAATGCAGTCAACTGGAACATTCCTAAATGGCACAGTGTTTGTATGTACATTAACCTTTAGTCGTTTAAATGTCTTCAGCATTCTGGAGAAATTCAGTGTCGAGTGAATATGAACCTCAATCTCATTGTACAAGTGTGCATAAGCCATCGGTATCACTCAGATCATATGACTTTCACAAACTGTTCATGCACACGATTTGCGCTAATATTAATTATGCATCACTCAGTTTGACGAAATCCGTTTCAGATAGAATAGGTAATTTAGCCCTCAAGCTTGTTTGCAATTACGATTATGTAACTGAAACAAGCATCAGTACCGATCTAAAGGTCACCTTATTTAAAGCTGATATTTTTTAAAGTTTCAGCATAATATGCACTAAAAATAATTTGTGCACTATTCTTCTAATACTCTTTGGCTTTGCCTGGGTATGTATTTTCCGCATCGAAATCCAGTCAACTTTTCTCTTCTTAAAATCATAATTCTGATTATTTATCTTAGTTTACATTGTCAGCATAAAAATATTTTCACTTGAAGAAAGAAATGATAGTTATTTTCTATTTTTCGAGGTTTTATTTTCCACATCATACAGTTACTCACCAAGCTGCATGAATTCCACTGAACTTAGTTTATACGAAAATGAAGCATACACAGATTGGACACATGTTCAAGTCGAGTGTTACCAACCTTTGAAGGATACTTTTACTTAGAGAAAACGTTGCTCAGTCTTCAGCTACTTTGAAGTTAATTTCGATCAGGTGACACTGGTGAGAGGATGAGGTGGAAGAACTACCTCTAGTATAAGTACATGACCTTCTGCAGTGAAGCATCAGCTGATTTATATAATTTCCTTTCAACTGTTTGATTATTCACTGTACTATTCGAAGCACTTTACAAGATCACTCTTGGTCTAATTTCTTGTTGATAGTCATTTCATTTCAAACACATATTTTGACGGGACCTCTGACATTCTTTTAATCTATTCTACACTAAATTTTCAAGACGGCATGGACACAGTTGGTTTGCACACATGATTTTACATCACCGATGGAATATGTTAGCTAACTGTTTGGCGTTCATAAACGTTTTGAGTGAGCAATAAGGTCAAATGACTCGTGTTATTGTGCATACCAGTTTTGCACACGTCAGTTGCACTGACCTTTTCAAGTACCCGATCTGAGATTTATCCGGGTATTCTGTAGCAATTTCACCAATTTATGCGTCAAGTCAATGTCAATTGGTTGATAATTTCTGAAATATCCTGATGTATTTTGAGTGGGTCGGTTAATGACACTTAAGTTGCCGGCTGTTCTTCTTGTTGGCAGTTTATACTTGTATGTCAGTAACTATTGCCTTTGAACATTTTGTACAGTAGGCGTCTTTTGGTACTTATAGTTATCATGCGCTACTTTTTAATCTCAGTAAGCAAATATACAGCTGACACCTGGTTGTTGTTGTTGCTAGCCAGGGAGTCATTACTATAGTAACGCAAAATATAATCCAACTATCTATCTTCCGATGACTTCGCTGCACTCTAAAATTCACTTTCAAGGAAAGTATATACCACAAATACACTCTGCTTCGTGAGGAAATGTATACCCCACTTAACAAAGTATGGAAACTATTGGTTTCCATGATACTACTTATGGATCGGTACAACTTCTATGGTATTACAAGTACCTTCCATCACATAACTTTGTGAAAAACCGCCTTCTGTTTTCTTGAACATGATTTTATCGGCAGTTAGACGAATCATAGTTGTATGAATGTAGTGGATATTTTGTTGACAATTTACCCCAACTTCAGATATGGGCCATTGGGGTCCACGGAAGCCCACGGTCGATATTTGAGACTGAATATTTATCCACTACATGACAGTCAAGTTTTCTAGTCTCGATTTGGGGAAGCGAAATGACCAATTCCAGCTTTCACCTCACCTATGGACACTACATGACCTCCACTGCATCTACTTGGCTGGTTAGTCAATGAACACTGATCACTCAAATTCCGAAAATTGACTGCAGAATACTTCAAAGATAAACAACACCTTATACCAACTTAACAAAGAGGTTCTCTGGTCGATAGGACAGTGGATTTTCAGGCAATAGGTGTTGAATTTAAGTCACAGTGGAAATATTCTCACCCACGAATCAGATCACATACATTTTACAAGCTTGTCATGGAGTTTCACTTAAATGACCCTAACTTAAATTGATAGGTACTAACTTATTTGTTACTTAGCTGATACTGTAATTTTCGTCATCATAAAAGAAGACGTATCTTTCAGTGTTAAACCTCACTTCAGTGAACCTACTATATTTACTTGCAGTGATCTGACATTATCTAAAATGATACTTGTATAACCTTCCCAAACATTTCAGTATGGCCCACATCACACTAACATGAGCAGTGAAAAGGTGATTCGACTCACCATCTATTCTTCCAGTCTATGAACATCAAACAGACTTAGTAGTAACAAAACACTCAATGGTTTGCTGAAAATAGCAGGCTGCTTTTCAGCCTTCAACTCAATGTTTTCTTTACTACATTTAAGAAAATTTATCCAAGCGAATGCATCCACTATGTGTAGCATCATACACTACGGAAGTGGAGACAATCTATGCGTGTTGAAATATATGCACTACATAAAAACGAGTTCATTCCATTTCCTTTGCAGGTCTGTTGAACAATATCGGGATGCAACTGTTATAAGGTTGCAGATATCACCACACATAGTCCAACGGAAAACACAAACTACAATACTCCGACTCAAATCTGTTACCCTGAAAACCCACAAAAGTCAAGTTGCTTAGTTAGACTATGTGAGCCAGTAGTTTACTTCATAGCCACAACTGTGGTATTCTGACAACAGAGAAATACACTTGCAGCAGTGTTTTAGTTGATGATTTTGATTTGGAATTTATGTGGATGAAACGTCAAATGTTAATATGTCAGTTTGATTGATGAAATCAGCCAGTAGCTGGGTATATCGCTGGTCACAAGTCAAGGACAACATCCTTTTGTTTACACTTAGTGAAGTAATGGAAACACTTCAGATTTCACACACTTATCATGTCAAGGAAATGTTTATGAAAATGGTTCACAATCAGATAACTAAGAATGAGTGAAAAAGCAGTGCATATAACAAGGTCAAGCAATCTACCAACTGGTGGACAAAACAGAACACACTACGGGTGCTAGAAAATAACTTCTAACACCATACGGACCATCACTGATTCACTTGACAAGTTGATGTGAACAGCAGAGATTATCAAATGATCCATACGCACGACAAGACAGATTTTATGAATTCCAAGCAGTACTGATCTGAAATCGAATATCATTCGTAGTGCTTTCTTTGATATCCGAAATATGACTGCAAATCGGAGACAGAAACAACTGTCCCCAGTTTCTTCAGTTCATGAATCACCCTCTGGAATCTGTCGCAAAAAACCATCGGTTTCCTTCACTTTACAGTTATTATTTTCAGTGTGGAAAGATTATCAGTTACATTGAATATAAAAGTTTCTGTATATGTCGATTGTTCTAATGATGAGTAGGTTTCAGTCAAATATGTTGCTTTCATTACTGATGAATGTGCTTATGTTTAGCTGATATAAAAATGATTACTTAAACATGGTACACATAAGTGCGTCAATTCAAAAAATTGTACAATATGAAACTCAGTAACACTAAGTAATATTTCATTTGAGGTAACCTGCTATTTGATGCATTGTACCCACCGGAACAATGTGTCTTATTGACGTAAGGTCCAATACACAGCGAGTACATGGTTGCATATGCGATGAATGTGTTGTCGGATGCAGAATGAAATAGTTGACTGAATGGACCCTTTGCATATATTGGAACATCTTCAGCACCGTGTGTAGCATAATTAAGTCTAAAGAATGATTGTGCTGTATAGTTGTTGGCAAATCGATCTTCGGTTGCAGGATCAGATCGAAATTCATTCACCAAACCTCTTGGTCCATTGAAATAGGAGGATATTAAGTAAGACTTATTATCGGCAGCCTGAAGCATAAGCCAAAAAAGTAACAGATGATTTTATCGAACACAATATGCTGTGAAACAGTATTCTGTGGATACATATATTCAAAAATAAAAATTTGCATTTCTGGTCTATCACAACAGTCTTCAGAGATAATGTAGAATAGTGTAATAACAGAAGGAGTACCGAAGGTTCATAAAAACACAATCCATTTTATTATTTGATGATACTTATAATTCCCCATGGTTATACTGGCCAGAATTGATGGATCGATTCAATCCAGTACAACAGCATGGAATCACAAGTGTCAACAAATTGTGGTCAGTAACACCTGTTGCGTAAGAGATGGCCTGGTGGATAAGTCTCTGGCACTTGAAGTGATGTGTGCGGAGTCCGAGCTTCAGTGGGAACAACATTACTCACCAGAGAGCAGGTACATGCAGCTGACGAGTACTAAATAGGGAGAAAAGTGCGTCCTGGATTCCGCTATTAGCTACAACCAAGTAAACTGTAACGAACCGTTTTGTTTGAATAACCAGACAGAAGTAACTAGATTTAAGCTTCAGATTGCTTGTGTAATCAGGGATAGTTCTGAAACTTATGTCAGGCACCATGACCCACTGGCCTCATAACTCAGCAAACCATTTTCAGTGGCGCCAAACATTTCGTATGTGATGTTGTAAACTTATCTCAGAATATGCCGTTCAAGACGCCAATGAAATTAGTTATTGAGTTAGACTGTGAAGTATGACAACAATCATTTTTCTGTCACTCAGTAGGCATTGTCTTTCTTTTCCATAAATTAAAGATGCTGTATCGCTATTATTTTAATACCTAACGTGAGTATTCACATCTCTTATCATTGCACTCCAAATCAGTTGCACCAAGAGATGTTTTCTCGCTTCTCACACACTTTTTCAGGTAAGGATTCCATGCTTGTGTACATCCTGTTGTTAAACAATCGAATGAATGTCGATGAAGAAACAAAATATCTGCTGAATCGGATAGTGAAAAGATCAGCAGATTGAATAATTAACAACGAATTCAGCGCAGGTGATAAAGCTAAACAAAATGTTGCAAATAATGTTGTCTGACACAAGGAAACCTGAAAACTGGGAGAAGGCTTTGGAGGTACGATTCCTATTCTGAGCGTAGAATCTTGTCTATTTTTTAAACAGGGTTGCCTTTTTTCTTCAAAATAGGACTCTAGCATCATTCATTATTTTCAGTTTGGCTAACAACATCAGAATTCCCGAAATTTCCGTTTAATAGTGAGTGGTAGACGAATAGTGAAGACTAAATCATGTTTCCTCATTGACTAGTCACTAGAGAGTAACCAACTTCATGTTGTCTAGTTTTGAGTGCTGACCGAATCCTATCGATCATTTTTGCAATGTGGCCACCAGGTTAGGTAGCTCACCATCGTGTTGCACGTCTGAAGGATTTCAGCTGGTCGAACGTAATCGTTAAGAAGCTCTGCTTGAACTCTATTTCGTGTTTGTTGCAACTCGTCAGCAAGGCGTATTAGCAGCCTCGATGGAACTGGTGTCCCATCTGAGATTCGGACCCATGTCATCACCTAGTGTTGTATTCAGTGACGTTACCTTTAGGTTATTCGCGCCGATATGCCATGCCAGAAACCTTAGTCCAAAGCCCCCTCCAGATTGTCTTCGATCAAATAACATCCATGAAAAATGCACTGCGATGATGATTTTCTAGCTTAGTAGCTACGCTCCAAAATTATCAGTAGGATTCAGTCATGATTCAGAAAGTGACAACATGAAATTAGTTGCTCCACAGTGACCAATGAATCTACCTCATCCACTCTTGAACGAATAGCTAAATGGTAGTGTCGCTGACTACAGCAGTAGGTGGTGATGTAGGTTTGAATCTCAAAAGGGAAATCGCTTATATCAAAGGGTTACAGATACGCTTGACTGAAGTGCGCCAACAAGCACAAAATCTAGGTCCAAGACATCCTACCAACTACTTCCAGTGTCTATATCCCACATAATAAGCTCATATTAGGCCTTAAGTTCCCTCTCCAAACAAGCCTTGGGGATCAGTATGAGCTACATATTTCACTAATTCTTCTCAAATCTTTTACCTTCAAACAACCATTGATCATTTGTAGCCCCTTCCATACCAGCACATTCACTACACATTGACTCAGTAAAGATTTTATCCCCTGTGCGACTCATGAGTATCCCCGGAATTCATTTCTTCTTGAAGATAACTTGTATCTTGGTGAAATAAGCAATCAAACATTTCTACATTCCTATTTCGATTGACTCATGTTGTTTGGCTTTTTTAACAATTGACATAAATTAGGTAGTTGTCCCTTAGGTAATCACAGTAATTAAAGATTACTATTTAAACTTCCACATTCACGTTCACAATAACAGTCATTTTAAACCACAGGAATTATCAGCAACTCGACATCGCTATTTCTACTTTACAGTCATGTCAATTAGTAAAATATGCTCACACACAAATATCACAAGTTCAAATCTACGAATTACTTTTAAATCGTCACCCACGTCGAATACACTCAAGTTCCTCGATGGATAACCAATCACTCCATATGCATGAGAATGATCAGCTGTCACCATCAATAATGTGTCAGTTCCCTTTACAAGTGTTGATGCTCTATCAATTGCCTTTTCAAACTCCAATGTTTCAGTTAAAGCATGTCTACAATATTAAGAAGAAAATAAAATGGCATCAGGTAATCTCATCACTTTATTAAAACAACCCTGATATATTCAGCACATACATCATTGTACATGTTGTTGTAACTAAAAGGTGTGTAATAGAACAAACTTAAAGAATACTTGAACTCAGCCTCATAGAAGAATTAGGCATTGTGAAGTCAAAGCATAAAGGAAGTGAAAACTAAGACTTCACTGAAGCAGTTTGCCAGCCTAAATGTGGTGTTAGGAGTTCAGGTTTCTGATCCAGATCAACTCGAGTAGATCACCGGTGAGCTCAACTACCCTGATTTGCCTAGAAACCTTCACAATCCACAGTTAGTGAACCAAAACTACTCATGTCATGTAGTAGTATATTGCAGTGACCAAAAATATCTTACTAATATTCTTATTACAGTGATGAGCGAGATAGAACTGATAGTAGTAATAATAGATTGGATTTATGTTTCACTCATAATGTCACATGACCCAACAAGATTTAGAGTCTAAACAAAATTTGTCTTTGCTTTATGGTTATTGTTCCAAGAGTTACAATTCATCCACGTTAACTAGCTGGAACGAAGAAACAAATGCATCATACAATTGCTGGAATGAGGCAGTGAGAATATTAATGCAAAGTGCATTTGTGTGCCGAATATGACCTTGCCCACCTACATACACTGATATTTATGTTTGTGTTTGCATAAGTTTCCGTGACCAAACTCATGAAATCTACATTATGAATCCAAATAGATTTCACCCAAACTTTAAATCTCTTCGATCATCCAGTGAAACATAAATACAAAACATTATCACTAGCCTCATGCCTACCATCAGGGTCATGTAAAAACTGATAAAATATCAATTCATGAAACAAAAGACTTTCAGAGAAGTGTCAATCTTTTCAGTAATATCACTCTCAAGTTGTACGATCGAATATTCATTCATGTCACATTCTTCTTTAGAGATTACTGGGGATTTGTTTATTGATTTCAACTTGATATTCATCACGGAATGACATCAGTCGACGAACCATTGAAAACACATCTAGAAGTAGTGGAGCACAGGTGTTTCCCTACAGTGTGGGACAATCACTGTAATTTATTTACTCCTACAAACCGTTAGTCACAACTCTGAGAGTTAGGTGAAGGTATAGCTGATTATGGTGTTTAGTGAAGGGGATCTGAGTTCATGTGTTGCAGTAAATAACTTCTGGGTTCATTGATTAATCCCTAGAAGGTAATCAATTTCATGTTTTATAGTTCTAAGTAGGACTGCATATTAATTCTACACATAGTTGTCAACAGAGAAAGAAGGAATGTTTCATAAAAATCCTGTTTGAACAAACTTCGATTTCTATTATTAACTAGGAAGTTGGAAAAGTAGCTAGGTAGTGTAAAACGTAGTAGCTAAAAGAAAAATCTTTGAAGACCAAATAAATATTGAATAACTATATTGAATGATGTGAAATAGCTGAAAGAATGAATAGCTGTGATGAGATGTCTGAATTTCTATGATGGAAGAATGCGGCGTGAGAAGACGTAATATACTATAAAGCAAATGGAAACGGACATCAGGAAATATCAGTTATATGATCAAACGTTGAGAGTCGATTGGTAGAAAGACCTGAATCTGGGTTTCGAACTCGTCGTCACTTATTAGCGTGGTGTATTCGGAATTATGAGAAGATTGGTGTTTTCTCGGTGATTCGAGTCTGCATCATTCATTACAAAGACCGGAGACTTAATCATTCAGCTATTTTAGTCATCACTGAATGTGTTCCTTCCAACCTTATGACTGTTATTTGAATCATTTTACAATTCTGTTGTTTTAAACTCAGTCCCACTTTTCTGTGACTCGTGATTTCACACGTCATATTACTTCTCTTGCACACTACATCATTGTTTAGAGTGAAATGACGGCAGAAAATAATGTCCCCACCTCAATAAGTGGATCTTCACTGTTTTTCAATTAATTTAGGTCAACCTGCCACACATATGTCTGTAAAACCGAGAATCTATCCCTCTTTCAAGACTTGGATCCACACACCGATCTCCGTATTCACAAAAATAATAGCGAAGGTATTTAGGATTTGAGTTTGCTGCAGGCAATCAGCAGGAAGCCCTGTCTGATCTAGAATTCGTGCTTTTTAGCGCTACCCTTCAGTGAGATGCATCCTCAACCTCAAAGGAACTCTTTAACACATTGATTCAGTTTCTGTTACTCAGCTGTTCAACTACTCTACAATAAGTTTGTCTATCTCTGGAATAATATGATCTGTTGGTGTTTTTTTCAGGCGCTACACCCTTAAATAATTAGACTAATATTTCATTGCCTTCTTTCTTATCCACATTCACTTGTTTTTATCAGTAACTACAAAGAATAGAAGTCACATATGCAAATTATCTCTCTAAATTTTTCTACGATATCAATATCAGTAAAATGAAATATTTATTCTACTTTCAAATATCGCTCACTTCTGAATTAAAAACACTGTAAATGTTCAACACGAATGGAAACCTTTAGTTTATATGCATTACTCAATGCCATCTTCGGCTAATCACTTATCAGTAAGGGCTGTCAATCACTGAACAATTTTCAAAGAAAATTACCTCAGTTTGTAATCGGAAAAGCACCGTCAAAATAATTTTGTACTTCTGAGCGTGTTTAGGGATATAAAAGTGAAGAAGAGCAATGGTAAAGCAATCAGTGATAAAATAACATAATAAAATTCTCACTTAGCTTGACTTTTGTGATGACCGTGATCAATTCTGCCTCCTTCGACCAAGAGAAGAAAACCTTTTGGGTTACGAGAGAGTACTTTGATGGCAGCTTCTGTCATATCAGCCAAACTCGGTTGGTCCGAATTATCAATGTAGTAATCCATGTGCTCGGGAGCAAACAAACCTGAAAAATGAGCAAGACGCGTTGATCATAATACACAACATGCCAAATTGACTAGGTGGTCCGGCCATACTGATGCTTTTAACATATCCCTCTACAAATTATGGGGAATGTAAAGAGGAATGATGTTTCTTGATGGTATTCACCGCATAGTGAAATCAATTGAAGAACCACTGAAAACTCGGGAGCACTGGGCAGATGTTTGGTCAGTGGGTAAAGGACCTCCGAAAGTGAACACCCATGACTTGTCAATGCAGCTATATGTAAGGAAGGATACTCATCGATGACGTTGAATGATGGTCATTTTATATCATAAATTTACAGAAGTGGGAGAATCAGTACCCGAGAGATCTGATGAGGTGACCTAATGCTCACGTGCTTGCCTTGAAACCTGACTTTTCTGACATCGATCTCTGAACAGGTTATCAATGTGGAATGTTGAGGAGTCCTATACCGGGATGAAGCATCTGTCCGCTGCTAGAATGTTTTCAAAGGCTCTCCAACTGATACCAATCCGAAAACCAGCCGAATACCCACAAGCCTCTAAAAGAATGTTTTCATTTTTTTCTCAACATTCCCACTGTGATGAAACAGTTTAATGACAAACTGAATTATTTAAATCAAAGCAGAAACAGCCTTTGGGATCAGGCATCATTCAAAAACTGAGGTTCAAAGTTATTCGATATAATCGTATTTCCCTTCAGCAAACAATTATAAATACATCAATACTGATGATGAATTTTCCAAACTGGATTTTTGAACAGAAATGCTTCCGTTTTTACTTTAGATATCATATCGTTCATATTCAGAATCCAAAGGAACGTACGCATTAATTATAAAATACTAGGTGGTGTTTATCATGATGATATCACAGTAAGCAGCATGTGCGTATAAACCGTAATGATCAGATGGGGTTGAAGATCCCATAGCAACAGTTTATTTGAGATTTATATCCTTAAAGAATGAGAAAGTGTAGACCAATTCTATTGCTGTATGGATGCCATCTGAAGCAAAATTGTAACACTGGAAATTTCAAAGGTGTTTGAAATGGAAAACCTCGCCTGGTTAACTGGTTCACTAGTTACTAGCCGGTCCTAAGCCCGGGTAAAGAAAAAAGGTTGGGCGCAGGGCTAGCAACTGCAATCAACACTGGACAAGACTCCACCCTAGCTGGCGATATCAAAATTCTAATGGGTGACATGAATGTCAAACTGGGAGTGGACAACACACGAAGAGAACTAACCATGGGTCGAGAAGTGCTCGGTGAGGTGATGAACGAGAATGGAGAATTGTTTGCAGAATTCTGTGCATTCAACCATTTGGTGATTGCAGTGAGGCAGTGTGTTCAAGCACAAGGATATCCACAAAGCGACATGGATTTCACCAGACACCAAGACACACTAAAAATCAGATCGACTTTATCTCAATGTGAAGAAAGTGGAGACGCAGTCAGCCTACTTGACACAAGGTCAAGAAGAGGAGCAGATGTAGGTTCACACCACTCACTGTCTAGTGCAAGGAACCTGCCTTCCAAATCAAGTTGAAAGCCCTCAAGGAAGTTGGTGATAGACCACAGTTCAAGTACAACACTCGGAAATGAAGGATGAAACTACAAAGGAAATCTTCACTTCAGTCAGCCATCAAGACAAAATGGGAGATATCGAGCAGCATTTCTGAAGAAACCTGTGTGGAAGAACACTGGAATTCTTTGAAAGAGATGTGGAAAGGAAACCTGCATAACCGTATTAGGAGGGAAGAAGAAAGAAGACAAGGAATGGATCTCGACGGATACATGGAAGCTGATAGAGTAGGGAGAGTAGGATGGTGAAGCAGAAGACAAACCAGTGCAAGGATGCTCAACGACAAGAGGAACTGAGTACAATGTATAAAACACTGTACTGGACAAAGAAGTGAAGAAGAGTGCACGGAAAGACAAAAGACGCTTCTACGAAACACTGGCAAGTGAAGCAGAACAGGCCGCAGGTAAGAGAGATAGAGACCTGACGACATTGTATCAAATAACCAGGTTACTATCTGGTAGATAAGAGATCAACGCAGACGAAACCAATAAAAGATGAAGAAGGAAATTTAATTACTAAAGAAGAGAAACAGAGGAAACAATAGGCTGGCCGACCACTTCAAGAAGCTCTTGAATCGACCACCACCATCACCTGCACTTCGTCCAGAAATACCACCTGCAGTCCGACCGCAGAACTACAAGTGAACATAAATCCTCCAACAAAAATGGAAGTTCTGAGCGACATAAAGCTACTGAAATGCGGGAAAGCAGCAGGACCAGATGGAATCCCGCCAGAAGCACTGAGAACGGATGCAGAGACAACAGCGGACATGCTCACACCATTATTGCAGAAGGCGTGGAAGGAAGAGAAGGTACCTGGCTAGTGATTGGAAGAAGGGTTACCTTGTCAAACTGCCGAAGAAGGGAGACCTCAGTGTTTGCAAGAACTGGCGCGGAATCACTCTCCTATTCACCCAATGCAAGCAAAATATTAAGCCGTATCATCTTGGAGAGACTAAAGGATGCACTGGATTCAAAACTACGACCGGAACAGGCAGGCTTCAGGAAGTACAAATCATGCAACGCTACGCATCATCATAGAACAGAGTATAGAATGGCAGTCAACCCTCTAAAACAACTTCGTCGACTTTGAGAAGGCTTTTGACAGCGTCGACCAACAAGTAATTTGGCAACTGCTTCATTACTTCGGAGTACCGCAAACCTTTATCAGCCTCATTCAACAACTATATGAAGATGCCACATGCCAAGTAATTCACAATGGGAAGCTCAGTGATGCTTTTGAAGTAAAGACGGCAGTGAAACAAGGTCGCCTACTATCTCCCATGATATTCCTGATTGTGGTCGACTGTATCATACAGCAAACAGTGGGGAGCGAGAAGAGGGGATACCCTGGATCGGGAAAAGAACCTAGAAGACTTGGATTTTGCCGATGATTTGTGTCTAATGTCACATAAACTTGAAGATGTTCAGGCGAAAACAAACAAGTTGAGGGAAGAGGCAAGGCAGCGAAGATGGGAATTCAAGTGAATATAGAGAAGACAGAGGTGATGAAGATACCCAACCAACACCACCAACAACAACAAGCTTCAATCACCGTGAACGGGAGAAACTTAAAGGAAGTAGCCTCTTTCACCTATCTAGGCAATTAAAATATAAAAAATCGAGAGATTAATCTACTGTAAGTTATTTGGAGATAGTTGGCAGAAACCCATAGATCTTGATTTCGTGTCCGAGCACACTCATCAACAACACGTCTCTGTAACATCGACCTCACTGACGTCCCACTCGAGTTTCGAACTTGCGTCATACAGCGCATTCGAAGACGTTGCCGGTAAGCTACCTAGGCACTCAACAGGTTCGTATTGTCTAGTCCTAAGAGCTGATCGAATTCAGTCAGTCATTTACTGCTAAGTGAAGCATTCGTCCTGTTACACAATGTGATCATCTTATCAGCAAATAGAAGCTATAGGCATATTTTTGTGCGCAATTGTATGAATTATTTCACACTGCCTATATTATCCTGTCTTCCGAACACCTGAAAAACTGAACTAAAACAAGCGACTAACTTTCTGCTATATCGCAAGATTCTCACCATTTCATTTGAATGCCAGTCAACTGAATAATACTGCACAGCAGCCAGTTGAGCCAACGGAAGTAGGATTATTGTGTAACCATCTATTCCACCGTTCACTTCTATGTGGTTGACCTCATTTCATCCTACCAGTAGTTTTTGTGAAGATTTAACTCTTTTCCGTTTTATCCGCTTCGTCAACTCTTCACTGATTAATTTATTGTCAGAAGTGCATCTTGATTCTGAGACAGAAGTAGTTCATGACAGTGAAATGTTTCATGTTCATCATGAGGTAAAATGGATTTCAGACTTCCAAACTGGAATAATATATTTGTGCAGGTTTGCATGATTTCCAGTGGTCCTCCAAATAATATCCATATATCAAGAATACTGTGAAGTGACCGATAGCCCATAAAACACTAAACTAGGTGAAATTTTTGTCTACAAATTTGGCATCACAATAGTTGGAGCTTAGTCAGACAAAAGGATTTCACATCACAGTGCCTAAATTCCATCTGATATTAAAAGATTATTTGTAGCTTCAAGGTCATACTATGAATTGTGGTTCTTTGAGGTTTAGCAAACGTAGACCATTACCAATCTGCCAAATTACCTTTACAGAAATGGAATATGTTCACGATATCATATGGCTTGAAACAGTCTGGTGGATGACTGATATATTTATATGTTAAGATATCGAAACAGTTTGTATGCCAGTTTGTTTGAAATAATCACAATGAACTTATATACATTCATGTTTATGTTACTGATAAGCTGTACCCGATTTTAGATCAAGGTGAAGTTGGTTGGTGAATTTAGCAGGTTTTTCCATGATTAAATGTTGTGGGTTAATGAATGTTACTTCGAAGGGATTTCTCGTGCTGGAAAGTGCTCGAAGATAAGCTTCCTCATAAATGAAGTGATCAGTATGACCTATTCTTTATTTCATGGAGACCATTATATCCACAGTATTTTATGTAATATCAGCTTAAGCTTTTTCCACTAGGCATTAATGCGTTTGTTACTGCTTATACTTATGTTCACCAAACAGGTGTATAGACCAGCGTTAGATATATATGTTGGCCCTCAGTATTGGAAAATTTAACCGAAGACAGAAGTTTATCTGACAATTCAAAGCTACAGAAGGATTAACAATTCTACCTATAATTTTATTCACTGAGAAACAACACTGAAATGCCAGCTGAAATGATACATTGAAACAACACACCACCCATCTTACAAACAAGGCTACCAAAGTAGGAAAACAAGGATTCATAATCACCTAACTCAAGTATTTTTAAGTGGTTAGGTAGTTTGTGTATATTTCTTCTGAATAAAAGGTTACAGCTTTACAAATTTTATTTCTCTTCATGAGTAGCTAAATGGCTTTTATGACATTTTCATTTTCCCACCTTTCTATATCGTTAAAAACATACATGTGGTCAATCAACTCAAAATCAAATACTCACAAAATCTACTTTTCCACTTTACTGCATAGTCGCAAATAGTCTAATAGTAGTTATCTGTCACATCCTGCTTCTAATCAAAATTTATGGGGAGGTTAAAAACCTCCCTCCCCCAATATTTTGACTATACATTCCACAATGTGAAGGTCAGTTACGTATGAAGGTGTAATAAACATCTTAAGGTTGACACAACAGACTTCTTACTGGAAGTGGTAGTAAGTCAGTATAAGCCTGATCAGGTAAAGGGATGCAAATTTACACTTTCAGTAACCACCTTGCATCATATGAGCCTTCTTTATAATACACAACTCACTACATCTTCATTACTGCAACAGTGTAGAGACATTTGAAGGCGGACAGGAAATGATTATTTCTCCTCTGTGAGCAAGGAAAGGAATCGGTTTACTTACAGATAGTTGGATATCTTCGAAGAGACCTAATATCACATGTACTTAGTTCCATTCAACTGAAACTAAAAGTATACAGACTCAAGACTATGGGCGATTAGCTTCCTGTCAATAGTCACTGTTAATATATGTACAAAACAGAAAGCATGTCAAACAGTTTAGATTCGTTTCAAGAGAAATTACCAAGAACATAATCGACGATGACCAATTTGTCTTCTTAAAATCCTCATTTGTGTGTAAGATCGCATACTTGCGTTGCTTTCCAGTTTGTATGTCGCGCCATTCACTGAGGAGGTCACGTGAATCTGATCGCTTTCCACTCGCCGAAAAGGCGATTTTCTTGATCCCCCATAGAATCCTGTTGCACCTCCACCCATTACAACGTTCACATCAGAGGCATTCGTGAGTAGTTGGACAGCAGCATCCACACAGTGGTATCCTAACTTACTGGTTGACCTGCATGAAAGTGGAATAACAATGATCATTAGTAATGTTATCTAAATGCTTCAACTGAGGTGAAAATGGTGGCGGTTCAATAATCAAAATAGAAATTCATAATGACATGATTTTATCAGACTTTCAAAACAAAATGTTTCGACATTTTATTGATGTGAGCATAGCCAGCTGCACTGAGCCTTATACATGAAACCAGAGCATGAACTGCATATAAATTGGAAGAATTTTTAATTGAATAACCCCCCTTTGATGAAGTATTATAGCATTTACTAACACACAATGATAACCATCTATTCAATCCATCAATACACATAGTTTGTGGTTAGGTACTGACCACTTCTGATTTCAAATGTTCATTAGGTAAATGTCACTGACTGAGTAAATTAACAATGTTGGGAGGAAGTTGTCAGTTAGCAGATAAAATTTAAAACAACTTCATCCTTCAGCTCAACACTAAGCTGAAGAAACGGAGTAGGTGTTCAGTACACCATCACAAACTGGCAGCTGGACTTAACGATACCTCAAAGTCCATTAGAAAGTGTTAGTTAAATCAGTTACTATGAAGAGATGGATTCCATTGCTGTAATAAAGTACGATATACAACGATAAAAATGAAATTATGAATACAGAGTAGAAACTGTCTACTTAAAAAATAAGTGAAGCATTATTCAAGATGCAAATGCTGATCCAACCCAATGTAACCACTATGCTAAATAATATGACATTGTAATGCATTATTTGTGGTGTAAGATGCCATGAAGTGATATGTAGGAACAAAGTTCCCTAAGATTCTGTCCTGCTGATACGTATCAAAAAGGATATATATGACTTATCGAAAGATATTCTTTACAATATTATGCGAATTACTTTGCTAGGAATAATTCAAGTATGCTAAAAGGCTTCAGTTGCCAGTACAGTCTCGAGAACTAAGTAGGTTACCATCGGATTAAAAAAATATACGCACAATCTGACCCTTAACATAGTCTTTTATAAAATAATTTGCTCACTGGGTAAAGTATGAGTGATGATATAAATGTCTTCAAAGTTCAAGAAATCCCTTCCTAATCAGCTGCGACAAGCTTTAAGCACAGATTCAGAGACTGCTATCGACAGACTCATAACACCTACTGAAACACAGAGGCGTCTGCATCGTGATCAGTAAATCACTGGAAAGGAACATGAAGCCAAGAATATTCAATCTTGGATATTAGTTCATATTGATTTTTAAAAGGATTTATTGTGTAATGGTTCTTCTGAGCAAGTGCCACAAGTTTATCCTACAAGACAATCACCATGTGTCCCTCAAGCAGATTTGACAATAATCGAGATAGGCCGAAATAGGGATGAAAACAGATAAGACACAGTGTCTACTACCTTTCCTCCAAGATATTCAATCTGACATTATTAACACTCATTAAAGGTAAAATGTTTCCATGTTTTGGATCATTTCTTCTTCAGAATACCTACTTTGAATAACGCTTAGTAGACAGACTACTGTTAGTATAGTGCACTATACAGACTCTAGATCGAGCTGACCATCAGATGTTTGCTGCCCTGTATTCCATCATTTTCCAACAGTTTAATCAACAAGGATCTCAAACTATAAATTATCTTTCGATAAAGAGAAATATTATTTATTGATACACATGAATCGGTAGACGTATTCAGTTACCTCGGAATGAAATAGTCTTCCAAAAAAACTCACTGAATGTTTAGATAAACAGGTAGTTGATTAGGTCGAGTGTGTGTATTCGATGGAGACTTTTCTACTCCAATCTTCAGATGTAAGTCCCTCAGATATTGCAACATATTCACTGACTATAATTAATAGATAATGAATGTAAGCAGCAAAAATCTGAGATTCAACTTATTGTGTGAAATGATATGTTCACTAGTGTTATGAAGTGTAATCAAAATCGCCTAAGTATTCTAGTAAGTTACTGGACATATGGATCAATTTAATTGCAATTGCTTAATCACTTAGACTGAATAAGTGTTCTTTGAATGACGTCAACAGTTTTTCACTTATTACAATAATGCGGTTTCACTTTATTCAGTCTGTTTTGCCAAACGCCTATTTGGATACTAAACGAACCTTTAGCAAGCATTTTTATTGAAGCAGAATCATATGCAAAAATCACGCTTTTCTTTTCAGAAATGTCCCTTGGAGGAGTTCTGTCTCACACCTTGATTGCCAAACACACGAGGTGTTGAGTAATTTGAAAGTACCATTCTGGCATTCTGTCTCCATTTTTAAGTATGGAATGGCTTGCTAATTATACATTATCTGCTCAGATGTTGACCAAGTTACTCAGCTGCCAGGTGGTGGTTGAGGGTGAAATACCAGCCTGAGTCACGAAAGGATTCGAACATGCTGTCTTCGGATTACCAGCTCGATGGTCTACCAACTGGGCTGAGAGACTTAGCTGAGGATCATGTCTTAAATTCACTTGGATCACCAGGGATTTTGTCCGGATGCCATGTGAATCCGTGATACGTAACTATTCATTCATCTACCGACATCAACCTTTAATTTATCTCCAAAGAATCAAAAAATCCTTCCGCACTTCAGACTGCTGAGTAGCTTTAATTAGTACACTAGCCAGGCGAGTGATTACTTAACTACTTGTTGCAGACAATTTTCACCTCGGTCTTCGCGGCTTAGATGCAAATACTTTTTATTGATCTACTAAACATAACTTCATGCATAAAGTTAATAACTACAGTTACAATGGAATACTGTAATCAACTGACTTTTAGTTGAGCTGAAAATACTTCTGCCGAAAAACAGCCTTTACAAACTGGGCTGTGAGTCTTGAATCGGGTTTCATGGATGTTTTCTTTCTAGCATAAAACAACGCTGTTTTTAACCTAAGTTAATGGTGTCAAACCTGATGAAGTGTTTCCATGTTAAAAGGCAACTCATCAGTGTGTGAAAGATAATTAACCCGTTTGAGTTTGTTAATGTGTATTTAATAGTTCACTTGCTTCTATGAATCTGAGTTCTTCGTCCGCACTGTGAGCTCACTTTAAAAACATACTCATAAAGATTGCCCAGTTTGGTTGCTGAAGGGTGAGCACAAAGCCATCTCCAGCTCTAACAGTGAATACTTCACTGACTCTGGACATCTGACTCTTCTGGAAACCTGGTTCAAAGCAAGCTAATAAGTTGTGCCAGTGAACTTCAAAATCAGCCACGTAGTTAGGTAAACTGTAAGGTTAACACCAATTGAATGGTGTACAGCTGTGTTGAGAAGCTTTGACAATACCATTGTAATAATTAAGTTTTCAAAAGGGGTGATAATAGCCATTTGACAGCAGTTGAAAATGCTATATCATAAATTCCTGGTTAGTGAATTAATTCTACCTTTGTGCCGAGAAAGTATTTTGGTCTCATGATAGTCGTTTACATTCAGCTTATATTCATAATGACTAGCTTTCCATAACCTGGTGAATAAAAGCGTTATTCAGCATATCTATCGAGTGTCTTTATTATGGTCTTTTGACCTGACAAAACACATCACTTAAAAAAGAGTGTCATTCTGGTATACTGATAATTTATGCGTTGACTGGACACTTGAGAGTAACTAACTTCACTTCTCTATTCTTCAATATTGAGTGAAGTCTTCAATCATTTCATGGTGTAAGCACTGAGCTAAGGAATTCACTACCATGGCGTAGTAGAATTCGTGAAAGAGAGTTGAAGGCAGTGGGTAGAAAGCACTACTTGATCTAGGTGTGATGCTTGCTGGCACTCGTCAACAAGATGCATCCCCAGGCTTCAGAAAACATCTGAGTTATAACCCTCATAACCAATTACTGAGTCAAAGGTCTTTCCACTGACGTACTTGGTGGTAAGGTCTTTGACCGTAGCCGTAGATGCTGTGCAATCAAATCACAGAAAGGACACCAGTTCCCTTAAACTTACAGATACACCCTACTTATGAGTACCGAAAAGCATGAAACTTACCTAGATCAAGGAAGACTACCGACCAGTAACCCCCAGCTAACCAACACCGATAATTTCTCATCCTTAAGAATCTAAAGTTACATCTCACTGTGTCAGTGAAAACATTTCCTCACGATAATTAGGAACAACTGACGCTTCTCCGTTTAACTGAGGTCCTTAACACCACAATGATATCTACATAGTCACTAAAAGGTTCTGAAGCAAATTTGAAGATAAACAATACAAAAGATAAACTGTGACCATTGAAGTTACTTTCCATATCAACAACTGATACTAAACTACGACTCTAATTCCTGCTACCATGCAATAAATTGAAATAAAATCACTTTCTCTTACGTATACAATGTTCAAAGTTCCCAGTGTATCAATATTTTTGAGTATTATCTAACCTAACAACAAGACAAACCTTAACGACATCATTTCACATCACCATAATCCCATTACTGAAAACATTTTAATTTCATTCGTCAAGGTGCGTTCTAGTCTCCTCAGTAGAATAACAGTGCATTGAATAAACGAAGACACTGGACTTCCTTCTGGTCCTGTTATCTTCTGGAATGTGACGGCAATATACGGCTTAGGGATTAACCAAGTTACTGACAGTACATGACGAACTAAACTTGTTCATATCACCAACATGGCTTTCATCAATGTGTAAATCATTTTATTCCATTCATCTTCACTGCTATTTACAACCTCCATGTGTTCCTCTTCACTGAGATTCGAACCATGAAATAGCTCTTATATTTCGAGCAGATATATGCTGTGACACAGTCCACTGAATCCTGTTTATTCCTTAGACATTGTCGTTTGCTATTTAGTATTGATTCGATAAACTTATCATAGAAGTTTTCCTATTTATATTTTGTCATATATTCCTCTGGACTCGCTAATTTCTCTTCTTCAGGAGGATTCAAAGTGTTGACATGAAATTATCGCATAAATAAATGACCTTTTCATAAATGGCTAATTCAATTAACTTATATCAGATTGTCACCACTGTATCCGGCAACATTATTTTCTGACGTCTTTGACAAAATTAGGATATACGGTGGGTGAATTGATGGACAGACATGTTACGTTTTTTCCGAGTAGCCATATCTGTGGTCATCATTATGAGTGACTTGAGAAAAGAAAGATGTCAGTATGATGGTCTGCAAATAAACAAGTACCAGAATTCTTCACTTTTCACTACACATATAGCAACCTCAGTAAACATTTGTATGGTTGCACTCCCTGTTTGATTTATTACAAATTACATTTGTACCTCCCTACCCGTGTGTGTGTGTGTGTATATCATAGATATGATTGTTAGTCAAGTGTCTTTAACCATCATCCCTTAAACGTTCCTTGTTCATTATAGAATAGTATGAAACAAATAAGTATATACTCCGGTTGTCGGAGGAGTGTTTTCTGAAAGAGAATGCTACAATTCAGAAAGAAAAGCACTAATACAGAAGTAACCAACTTTAAAAATTGTAGATGACTGGGGCTTAAATAAAGACTATTGTTAGTTGATATTTTTAGAGGATTTTCTGTCGTTCTGGCTTATAGCAGGAAAATATTTCAAACAGAAACCTAGTGGAACTGTAACACGATGCTTACCTAGTCAAACATGCGATTTCCTTACAGAATATACCAAATATCCTCACATACTGCCAGAATTTCCCTATATGAGTACATGTAATCAATATACTACCTGTCCACAATTGTTCATGCACAATTATCAACGATAACACACACAAAACCTCACAGATAACGCTTACCCATTTGACTCCCAGTCTCGATGTAGTATATTTGCGTAGGCTGCTGCTGGGGTGGCATGAGTAACCCTAGTAGTGGTTACTATGCCAGTAGATAGTCCTGCCCTCGAAGCGTAATAAATAGAGGATTTCGCCCTTTCCACTTCTTTTAGCTCAGTACATTCGCAGCATTTCACTGTGCCAGTAATTCCAACAGTATTAAAAGGGCCTTTAACACCTACAAATTTATACAAACACACACTTGTCAGAGTGCAAATTAAAAATTACCATTAACCGAGATACAGGACACTTCTAGGTGTGTTGTGTTATACCAGTTATTCCTGTTGTTTCAGTTTCAACCAATAATCTATTTCATAGTTGATATGACCATTTTCTGCCCATAACTTGACACAGAAAGATGAGACTCTCAGTTATATATCCAAGTGAAATATACTGGTTTTTTAATTCCACCACAAAATACACTCAACAATCGCACACTGACAACCATCGAATGACTTAATTTATTGATGGTAACTCTCACTTTGTGAAAACACTAATTAGTAGGTTAAAGTAAAGTCTTCTCAACATTTTGACAGTTACCTTTATGCCTTTATGACAGGAGCATTCATATGTACATTCCTTCTTCCATTAACAATATAAAGACGGAGGTTTTGGCGTGTTGAACATGCACTCTGAAAAACTCGTAACAACAGTTCTAAGCTGAACTATTTTCTGTCATCTCCTTTTTGACAAAACCATTCGAAATCAAGAGGTCTATCCAGACCGAAGTAGCTCAGTAATAACACTCTTGAGTGCAGCACGGGTGACGTGGGCAATCGTTTCAGACAAGACATCATTTACCTAACGGTTACTGATACGCTTTCATCTGACACGTACCAACAAGCATAAAACCTAGCTCAAGCACGGCCAATGCTCACCAACCAAACAACGTCAAACAGGCCGCACTGTAGTGGCAATTCCTCAAGCATGGCGACCACATTACGAAATGATTGACAGAACTCGGTAAGGACTCATAAATACAGGAAGTGAAATTGGTTACTCTTCAGTGACTAATCGATGTAAAGTAGTGAACTCCGTTTCAAAATGTGCCTAAAAAGTCTAAATAAACTTTTATTATATAAATACTGAAGGTGTGTAATATAATAAATTAATTTCTTTCACCAATATGATCTCATTTATTCCGAAATTAATGACACGTGACGAGGCATCTAGTTTGCAACCAATAGTAGTTAAATGGATCACGAATATTCGATGGGCGTTGATTAACTAAAACGTTTGTGTATGTGTGTTATCAATAATGGCTGTGCAATAGACCAACATTTAAATGGTACTGTCTTTGGTATTGTTTCCTGAACTTCAGTGAAGTTGACCATATTTCGAATAATGAACTTGGTAGAATGATAGTTGGCAGAATAATAGAAGCTATGAGAATCAGAAAATCATCATTTGACTGTATGAGATAGCCATAGTTTAGCAGACTAATCAATATGATGCTCCCTCTCTCTGATTCAGTTAGATTTGGATTGCGACAAGAAGTCCTGACCAGGTAGACAGTGTGAATATGATCAAGCAATAGCAATGGGTCACGAATTCATATGGTAGTCGGGCAAAACCCTTGGTGATTGAAGTGATCATGAGTAGCTCAGTTGGTGGAGCACCGGGCCGGTAACCCTGTGGTCGCTGGTTCGAATCCGGTCGTGGTCCAGATTGGCATCTCACCTTCAATCATCACCCAGTAGAAATCAGAAAATCATTCAGTCAGTGTCCCATCTTCATTCTGAAAATATGCCAATCCTTCAAACCATGTAACAAAAAATCATATTGTATGAAAAATATACCGATACAATTGAGGATACTGAATAAGGTACTGGATGTCACACTTCCAACTGATCTCACCATTTATAATAATCAATAAACAAAATGTCATGTTAAGTTCAATTCAGGTGACAAAATGTATACCATATATCCTTCTGATCATTATGATTTCGAGTTGAAAGTATTCCCTTCAGTACAAAATTATATGGTGTAATCACCTTAACACACCAAATACCAAATGCCCAATTGCAAGCATAAAACAGTCCACAGACTAACCTGACATAAAGGCTGTTGCTGCAGCACCCGAATCCGTTGTCAGTCTATCTGAGTTAAATGTACGAACAAGTGATGCCACAGGCCAATCATCCCACACCAATTGTACATCACCACCTAGTAAATTCATTTTCTCTGCCTTCAAGTATCTTGCACCAGTCACTGTATTCAAACTCATTCCATCACCAATAAACAGGATAACATTTTTCGGTGGTTTTACCACTGACCAGAGGAAGGATTGTTCGAATTGCTTGAATCGTTCATCTGCCAGTTCTTTCCAAGTATCAGGGTTCTTTACATCCAACGATGAATTTGCACACTGTGTTGTATGCTGAGATAGTATTACTGATAAAAAGAAAAACCACAATGCATTTTGAATAGAAACAGTATTCCAATGCATGCTTATCTTCTATTCTGCTTACATTGTACATCTAATGCCTTTAAATACTGAAATGTAAATAAAAATTACCGACATTCGGTCATTCACTGGCTTGTGATTGGCTGATAATTTAATCAGTCACACACTTAGTTCACATTAAATAACACAGGATGAGCTGAATGCGGAATGAATTTTAAGAGTGAAAACCCTAAAAATGATATATTGCTTAGATCATTTGATGTTTAATCTGTTAGAAAAGTGAATATTCAACTGTTTATGCAATCATTTTATATGCAGCACAAATTCTATGTTAAGTGGTTTGTGGATGAAGTTTGGCTATCATACTGTTGGCTGATAATTCAAGGATTATTTTGACACAAATCTGCTAGCTTCTTGATTCTCATGTTTAAACTCAGGGAAGATTTAACTATGTTGTATTTCATTACTCACTATAAAACAAATTTTTATTTTCCCTGCTTTTGTGTAGTAGTATAACAAGAATAAGACTTCATTACTGACAACGTGAATTCATGAAGTATTCACATATACATATCAGCTTTTAGGGACTTACTCTACTCATGAAATGAATACATTATAGCAGAGAATTTCGATTAGACTCCTTCGAAATCTATCACTTACAGGATTACGATCCTGTTATTTGACTGTTCATTTTGTCTTGCTATCTTATGGAATCAGAGATTCGAAGTGTAAATGAGGCTCAAGAACTAGGTAATCCTTTGTTTCGTTTAAGTAATAAACTATGTGTTTCGTCTAATATATTCAATCCCAGCAATATTTTATGGCGATGTAGTGCACAGATTTTATTATATAGGAATGATTTAGCACTTCTAGGAGTCATTCGCCATTATAGAAACATCAACTGCTTTTCATAAGATGCCCAGAACTGTGAAGACATCGGTAAGTGCCTACAATTACAGTTGCCACATGAAGCCAAGACTGTCTGCAGTGACTTATCAGCTGAGAAGAAAATGAGCCAGACACCACATGGAAAAATTATCTCAATGTTAAGTCCTTTTCGGATATCAAAAGTTGTTCAATAACCTTGAAAACGATCCTCACAGATCCTTTCTAGCCGTACGTATTGTTTCTCCCTATAAAAGGCTAGACTCAATCATAAGTAACTAAATTATATACACAATGCTATTTCTGTCGACAAATATGACATCTAACTGAGTGAACGTTTCCAAAAAGAGGAAAGAAATACACACTGACAGTTCCCACCATCGAAACTAGTCGGGTGATATTGAAATGTTTTCTCTTATCTTGTGAAATCATGGAGTGATGCTGGCATTGTGAAACAGTACAAAACAATAAGAGCATAGAGCTTCAACAAATAAAACGAGAGTCATCATCAAGACCAACATAGGATCAAGCATCACTGCGTAACGGTCCAAGTTGTCACCCCTCATTACATCACATCAAGTAACAAGGCAATCAAAGGGAAGATGAAGAAGGAAGGAAAGACCGGTGAAAGGAAGTAGAGGTAGGAAGTACTAAAAGAAGAAGGAAGCATGAGAAAATGATGAGATTAAGTATGACAGTTAGGATGAGGATAATATTTGCATGCATCTGCGCCACTGACATCGAATTTCAGAAATATCACCTAGAGTCGCCAACCAGTGGTTTCTCTTGACCGGCGTACCTCCAACCGGCTAGTTTGCATCGCCCTACATAGCTCAAACGAACGGTAGAGGACTTCATGCAGTGATGCCGTGTTTTAGTCTGGCTGCCCAGAGCCTTTCACCAGCCTGAACCTACTTCGGCCAATATTGTAGGTCAACGCAGACGGTGGCTGGGTATACGTGACACACGTCGCATCCATCTCAGTTCACAACCACACCAACTATCTTACCTCTCCTCCGTAAAATTCTACACCTGACTTCTGCATTACTCACTTGATGACACCAGGAAATACGGCCTATGCTATGACGGCAACAACAGTCAAACACCTGAAGCTTTCTCATGTCTCGTATCTTTAATGGCTATGTTTCAAAGCCATTAAGTAGAACGGGGCGGACTGCAGAATCGTACACTCCTAATAGACAATCAAATATCATGGCCTGGCCAAATGTGGCATAACTTGACAAAAGCTAACCGAATCTTTCGTATCCATGCACAGATTTCATCGGTCGCAGATCAACTCACCAGTGTTGATCCAACTTCCTAGGTAAGTGAAGTGTTCAACGCCCTCAACCACTTCACTGCATATTGTTAGTCGGGGCACCGTTGAAGACGAGTCCTGGAGAAACAGTTTTCATTTGAGTGGTGAGAAACGCATGAAAATTATCCTCAAACTGCCACTCAAGGTGTCCAGAAGACTCTGGATCTTGTCAGCGTCTAAATCTAATATGACTATGTCATCTGCATATCCCAGGTCTACCAAAAATTTGCACCTGTGATTAGGTCAATCCCTGAGTAGTCAACTGACTAGAGAGACTTCCATGAGAACATCTATGATAAAATTAAAAAGAATGGAGAGAGTGAGTATTCTTGACATATATCGCTCGAAGTACACAAATCACCTGATATCTCAACGTAGGCGCTATCATGCACACAGGTTTTCAAGTAAAGAGCCTTCAACAGTGATGTACCTAATCCTCAACCCCTTCACAATGAGACGCATTGAGAGGCAGAGTATGAAATGGTAGGTGACTTTGTCCTACAACTGCTTCTGTTCATTCTTCCCACCTAAAATTTTGTTAAATCAATGTTGTTAGAATCAAAGTGAGGAAACCTGATTCACGTATTTAAAACACATACATGCATCCACTTTGTCTACCCTGACCCACAATAGGATGAACATGAGCATTATGACCTTTCATAACAAGGAATTCTATCGAATTTCTACAGGGTTGTGAAGATTCAGTCTACAATGAATACCAACTTGGAATAATTTTATATTTTAATCTCCCATTCCATTCCATCCCATCTCTTCTTATTCTTTCACTTCTCACTCCATTGATAAGTAATTATTTTCATAGGTGCTTAGTTTGATACCCTTGTTTATCACTACTGTTACTAGTAGTCACTTTCAATCCTTACGTAAAATTTCACAGTTGTTATTTGTGGTTTCGTTATTACCTTCACATGAACTTTCCATTTTTCCTTGAATGTAATTCATCATTACACAACGATCACTTCCTCTTAGTAAACAAGTATATAGACCGATAATGAGTAATTATCTCTATATTTTGCCTCTTTATGTACCAAGTGTTCTGTACATATTGATTTCATTCCCCGGTTAAAACTGAACTGATTGCTATTCCATCTCAGAAAAACTGACATTCCTTTCATGTGATATTCTTTTACGCATAACACTGACTGCTTCAACACTGAGACGATTTCACTGTAGCTTAATACCGACTATAGTGCTAGCATAGTCCGTTTCATTTACCGTGCTGCTTGTGATCTTTAATTCTGCATCGATCCTGTCCTCCTAGCTTATCACTCTCCTGCAATACAACTGAGGTACTCACTAGATGTTGTTTATATTACATGGGAACAAAGCTGAGGAAGTGTGTACGTCGACCCTACCATCTACATTTCTTATATGGTTTCCTTCCCAGCAACCCATTTGATCTTTTTCAAAGGAGAACTTCCAGAAAGGCTACTCCATTTTGTGATTCTTCATCACATGCGAATTTTATTACTGAGTGTGCTTCATTGAATTCGGCGAATATTTCACACTTATTCCAGCCGTCTTCACAATGCGATAAATGTATCATCCATCCACCTACAGTAAAAGGCAGACTTACAGATAACCATTCTCCACTTTAGCTACGGAAACGTCCGCTACCTGGGGACCGAACGATGAACCCACCGCCACCCCCTACACTAGTTTGTTTAATCCCTCATTAAACTGCCATTAGTAATTTATGGTAAATGTGAGCAGCAATCCACTGGAATTCCACCATTCAGCAATTTCTCCTTCTCCTGCTCATATGTGTAGTTGACTGTTTCAGTTATTGGTATATTCATAATACATATGATACATTCAGTGATACAAAAGTTCCATGTTTGATGTCAACATCTTAGGTCCTGTTCATGAATTCAGATACGTCTTTCTCACTATGCTTGACTGCCTGATCATATAGTGGTTTCAAATTAGATTCTAGCCACTTCAAATAGGCATGGTACTTACGTTGAATTTTGCTGATCGAAGATGGATAGACTTAGATCAGTGCTAAGGACAAAGGAATAGACAGCTGCATCGGTTACCTACCAACGACCAGACAGTTCGAGTACAACTTTGTTAAGTAATTGTAGAAAAGAAATTTTACTTCATTATAGAAGCCTTGGTCAATTCTACTGAAACATTCATAATGGAATAACTATGAAAGCAATGAGAAGTAAATCTTCAGGTGAGCAATGTTTCTTGTCTCTTCGCATACAGCGTTTTTCACAGAATACAAGATTTGGTAGGGTTTCATCACACACAGATGTTCACTTAGTCGAAATATCTCAGTTGTGATATATAGAGATTTTTGAACATTATTCATCCTGGTGGGTAAAGCAGTATTTTGGATAATGGATGGATTATCTTGATTTGGAGAAAAATGTTCAGCTGAAACCTTCTGTAACCATGGTTACAATCCTCGTTACAGTCTTCTCGTTTGGCCAACTCAGAGTATCTAAGGAGGAAGAAAACGTTCATACTCAATTTTGTCGTGAAATGATGACAATTCACTACCTGGATGATCAGAAATGTATCTCTATGATTATTTATGACATGACTATGTACACTCATGATAATCAGTTGACCAATACAGCATAAATGTCTAGTGGAAGTCTGCATTTCTCCGGTGTACAATCAACAGAACTGTCTGCAATCGTAGGCTTATTTTCATTTCACACTCAATATGAATCCTAGTAACTATGAGTTGCTTTATCAACTTGTTTACTACGACTGCCCGAAAAGTGAATCATGTCACCATGTTTTGCAATTTTAAAGTTTTATATGAATATAAATTTCATTTACACTGTATACTTCATGGATTGTC